CCGTGCTCTTCTGAAGTGCGAGCCTGCCCCTGCTCTGAGCACCCCTGCTCTGTGCGGGAGACAGAGGCTAGGGGCCCTGGGGCCAGGAGGGTCACACCGCAGGGGACAAAATGCCCGCCCTATCTCTACTTCTGACACTCTTGGTGAGGGGCTGATCCTCTTCCCCAAATCTAAGGCTCAAAAGTGAGGCAGAAGGTGACAGTCACCGCATACGAACATTTCATGTATCTAAGATTTCGCAAGAACACCTTCGCCTCATTTAGTTCCTGAAAACCAAAGCCAGGGAAACACAAATTTGCCAGCCCTTTGTAGTGGTCTGGGGGATGCTTCTGAAGCTGCGTGGGCCAATCCGTGGCTGTCCACGGGCCAATCCGTGGCTGTTCGCGGGCCAATACGGTTTCAGCCGCCAGGCTGCTGAAACAGACGGGCCTTCCTGGCAACTCAGCAGACTGCAGGCCTTCTCCCCTCTTCGTGAGCTGGGGTGTGCCGAGAACAATCTGGGCAGTCTCAGTGCACACAGGGAGGAGGCTGCTGCTCCCCCAGAATGCTTTCAAAGGCAAACATGTGCACTTTTGGGCAAATATCTGGATTCTAACTCCCCCTTCCTAAGCGGGTAATAAAGCCGACTGGGCTCCTCGGGGTGAACACTCCTGCTGGCTCACAGAAGAGGTACCCCAGTCACGGTGGGAGGGGGGACCCCACGTGTGTCCCAGCCAGATCCTCCTGTACGTCCATGAAGCTGGGAAATGGCCCTTAAGCCAGTGCTGCTCCGAGTCTTGTTAAGAAGCAGTTGTGACTCCGTGGGGCTGGGTGGCCTGAGACCCTGCCTTCCTAACTAGCCCTCAGGAGGCGCTGGTGCTGCTGGCCCACTGTCAGCTCTGGGCGGGCTGCTGCGAGGGTGAGCGAGCCACACCCACCTGCAACCCTGAGCCTGGCATCACGCTGTGCCCTAGAGACCCGGCGTGACTGGTCTGGGCGGAGCCCAGGCTGGGTGTTCCTTACCAGTCCCCAAGAGGCGCTCCACACAGGCCTGGGTGGAGGCCATGCGGCCCCGCTGCTCGCCTGTGAGGAAGTGCAGCCTTGGCTTGGGGGTGCCTAGCAAGGCAGAGCCAGGAGCAGGGGCTGCTCCTCGGGCTGCCGCCACTGGCCCTTACCCTCCGGAGAAGATCTTTTCCACGTAGCTGCGCATGAACTCCCTGAGCGCCAGGCTCTCCTCGTCCTGGGCAGACTCGGTGCTCTGGCCCGAGGAGAAGGACTCGTTGGAGGAGGAGCGGCGATCCTGGTCCCATGACGGGTGTGAGGGCGACTCGCCCATGTCGTTCTCGCTGTCTGCTGACTCGGTGGTCTCACTGTCTGACGCACCATCCCCCAGGGAGCCATCCCCATCCTCCAGGGCTGGGGGTGGTGCCTCAAGGGGAGAGGACGCGGGGGGCTCAGCCTCGAAGGTGATCAGCGAGCCCACGGGCACCTCCACAGTCTCCATGGCGGGCGGCTGCGAGGGGCTGGCGGGAGCCCGGGCGTGTCGGCGCGTCACGTGGGGGCTGCTGGCACCGTGACTGGGTCCTCTGGAGCAGCTCACGGGGCCCTACGACATCTAGATGGGAACAAGCACAAGGACATCATCACCATGAGAGCCACTCCGTACGTGAGGAAAGGTGAGCAGCCAGGACCAGACCAAGTAGACGGGCCAGGCCCGCATCCCTGTGCAGAGATAGCCTGCCCACGCCCAGGACTCGCAGAGCCTGCAGGCATCACTTTCCGGGGCTCTGTGACCCCGTTAAACACCTGGACGCAGGCTCAGTACCTATGCCGCACGAGCGAACAGCCGGGTTCTGCATCGGCAGACTTTCAGAGTGCCGCGTCCGCTGCCCCTGCTCCAGCCTACCAGCCGAGGCTATGGCCAATACGGAAGGCCCACCGGCGCTGGAATCGGAGAGCCACTGGGATGGCCTGCCTGCCTGCTTGCTGCTGGGAGATGCGGCCCTGCCAGGCAGTGGCCGCCCCACCTCCCGGCTCACTCCTCCTTCCTGGACACGTTTCTTACCATTTTCCCACTCGTGACCCAGAGCTGGGTCGGCCCCGCAGCGCGGTGGTTCAGTGCTGTGGAGAGGGAGCTGGATCCCACCTGCCACTGGCCTGGGAGGCTTGCAAAACAAGCCCGGTGCAGGCGTGTGCATGCCCCACATCCTGAGGGACGGAGAGAACAGGGCCTGGGTGGCCAGGCCCCACTGCGGGGGACGGTGCTGTCTCTCTTTCTCTGGTGAGCACATGTGCCCTCTGGCATAAAAACGAAACGAAACACACCCAAAACCTTCCCAGGCTGTCACGTCTGTCCCTTCTCAGCATTCTTTTCCAACTCTCCAATGTTCCCAAGCGAGACGTCGTGTCTGGGCCCCCTCTCTGCCTGCAGCCACCCAGATGACCACCTTCCAGTTACTGGGTCTCTTGATGCCACAGGTCAGACAGCCCTCCCCATTTTCCCTTTCACCCTTCTTCCTCCTCCATGCCCACTCTGAATCTGCTCACCCCTCAAGGCTGGGTCTGGGCCACCTCTTCTGAGAAACTCCTTGCGGACGCTCCGCGCACCCCCACGCCGTGCTCCGACTGCTCCCTTCCCAGCGGGGCAAGGATGCTCTTATCCCACTGTGTGTGTGTCCCTCGAGCTGGACCTCGCCAAGCTGCACAGCAGTCCTAGTGCCTGCCCAGACTGGACCAAGCAAGCGCTCACCGGATGTCTGTGGATGAACAGGCCTGATCCTGACACACTCGGGGTCGGGGAGTCGGTGGTGTGGGTCACACAGCGGAGAGCTGGCAGTGCGACCGTCACCTCTAGCTCTGGTCGGGTCGCTTGCTCAGGAGTTACCTGTCCGTCCTGGGGCCTTCCTCACGGGGACGCAGGGGCAGACAGCTAAGGGGAAGTGAAGCCCTCCTGAGAGTCGGCCCTCGGACCTAGCGTCCAGGATGACGCCTGCCAGACGGGGCCATGGACGCGGTTGCGCGGGACGCAGCTCCCGAGGGCACGTCAGTATCTCAGTGGCACTGACCGCCTCTTGAGAGCTTAATGTTCATGGATCAATCGTGGCGTCCCCCAATCCCCCAGCCTGGGGGACTTTCACTACCCCGAGCTGGAAAGTGGAGGGGCTGGCGCCAGGTCCCGGAGCAATGGCACACACCAAGGCCTACAGCCTGCCTGGTCCAGAAAAGACAGTGTGGACCTCAGCGTGATCGAACTTTCTAGGCCAGCCATAGAGAGAGACTCTGGAGAACTCGGACGGCAGACGCCACAGCTCAGGGACTTGAGAGAAGTGGATGCTCTGGGTCTCCCAGGCCGCGGTCCCTCTCCGGGCAAGGCTTTACGTCTGAGACACACAATGGATCCCATCACTGAGGTCCCTCTGCCAAGCTTACTCTTGGACCCTCGGAGGACAGAAACTCACACCTGTAAGAACACGCCTGATGCCAAAGACGGGAAACCACACTACGAAAATGTTTACAATGAATCTGATAGGAAAACTGAGTTAGTCATATCTATATTATAAATTCACATAACTGCTAAAAATCGATGTTCCAGCAGATACACAAACGACTCAAATAAGCACATTGTGTAAGAGGAAATACAGTTATTAAATCCCAGATAATTCTCTGACCCATACTAATAACCACACGCAAGATAAACATGCAGATACGCACCCTCTGTACTGAATTAGCAGAAACTTTAAAATTCTAGCCCAGACCCCAGTAAAGTTACAACGAAGCCAATATTCCCAAACATTGCTGGCAACAGGGACAAGTAAGACTTCAGAAAGCAATTTCTATAGTTCTTACTTTTCTCTCATTCGGGAATTTAAACGGTGGAAATTTATCCTAAGAAAATAATTCAGAACACTTGAAAACAGTGATGTGGCTAAAAATGCTCACTGCGAGAGTCTTTACAACCCCGACAAGCTGGGAGACGCACATCTAAATATAACAGAAGGGCAAATCCGAGCAGCTTGACACGGTAGAAATCAGCGCCTGCTGCAATCGGAAAAGAGTCCGAGCGACAGTTGCGTAAACAGAACACCCTGCGGCCCACCAGGACGCACTGGAGGCCTACTGCAGATAGGCGCCGCGTCCTGGCTGGGAACACGGGAAGGAGAGGAATTTGGTCTCACTGTAATTGCGATGATGTCTACGTAAGAACAAGGCCTGGGGAAGAAAACAGGAATGTCTCCTGTGCCCTTCATCCTGTTCGTTATCAGAATGGAAGCAGAAACAATCTGGGGCAGAAGGAAGCAGGCTGCCTTATCCCGAAACCTTTCAAGGGCTGAGATGGGCTTTGTCGTCAGCCCCAGCCCGGGAGGCTCAAGCGCAAACTGAATCATCGTGGCTATTTCTGATCCAGCCTGAAGCACTCTTGGGGCTGGCGAGATGCTCTCAGCGCCTGCCAGCTTGGAACACTGTGAGCCTGTGAGTCACCGTTTCAGGAGCCCTCGAGTGCCAAGTGCATCCTCCATGGGCTCAGGAAGGAGGTGGCAAAATGACAGGAGCAGCACAGGGTAGCGGGGTTGGTCTCAGCACTGGGTGGCTGTGGCGGGCAGGCGCTCTGCACCACCACCCTCTGTCCCCAGGGCCCTCGGCTCTCTCAGGACAGGTGAGACAGCCAAGCTTCTCGGGTCCTAAGCCCTCATGGTGAGGCCGTGAATGGAAAGGGCCTGGGCAGTAGCCTCTACTCTCTTCCTCCAGGAAGAAAATGTCATTTCGGGTCTCCAGCAGGACAAGGTGGCGGTCCCTCTCACGCACCAGGATTGCAAACCGCAGGTGACTGCCTGGGCCACACGGAGGGCATGGAAGAGGTGGCCTGGCAGGGACCACACCATCCCTGCTCTCGGGCACCCAGGTGCTGCTATTTGGGAGCATAGGCCCAGAGGTAACAGCGCCTCTGGAGTTTTCTAAGGAATGCTGAAATGTACGATAAGAAACCTAGTTTTTCAACACTGGGAGTTAATTTAAATGTATTTCAAAACACTTTGTGGGTCGAAGAAAAAAACCATGTTCATGGACTGCAGCTGGTCCATTTGCTTAGTTCTATGTACAAGGAGGCTGCAGGACCCACTGCAGGTCCCCAGAGGAGGAGAACAGGGTTTGGATCACAGAAGAGTTTCTGCTCCTGCAGGGCTGACACCAAAGATGCTTGTCCCGAACCTGAAGAACGACAGACCTCCTGCAATACACTTCGGCAAGTCAGGTCGCAGGTCCTGCAGCAGAATTTCCACCAGGGCGACGGCTGCCGTTCTGAGCCAGCCGGTTTCCAGAGCCCTTACTGTGACTCGCTGCCACCCAGCCAGTCCATGAGTACCTACAGAGCGCCCACTATGATCCAGCCACAGTGCAAGGAGCGAGAGCACAGTTACAGGGAGACCTCGGGCACGGCCGGTCGTGTGCATACGCACGTGTTGTGCACACGTGTGTGCTCACAGGCAGGAGAGCAGAAGAGACAGCTAATACAGTAACAAAGCCAAGCCAGAGCTCCAGGGCACTCTCAGCGCCACAGAAATGCCCTTGGGCTGAGAGGTGGCCTCTTGGACTGGGGGCAGGAGGGCCTGGCCAGGAAGGAGGGGGACCAGCCTACAAAGGCTTTGCAGAGTCCAGGAGCCAGTGAGGCTGGCAAGCAGCTGCTCATGAAGAGGCTGGAGGGAGCAGGCGCCCCTGGCTGTGGGGCCGGGCTGAAAGGCTCCCAGGAGTGTAAACAGGCAGCTGTGTGGAGAAGGGGTGGGGCGGAGGAGGCAGGTGGCTGTGGTGGCTTTGTGGGTGGAAATTGCCACAGTCCCTGGCACCCCACTTCCTCCATCACAGCCACTGGCTGGCGCAGGAACTGGGACCGGGGGGCCCTGGCTTTCGGTTCCGGGC